CCCCCAGCCCTGACACTATCCCCTCTCCCCCTGCTTTGGGGCAGAAGCCGCACAATACAGCAGAGCACCGTCTGGGACCAGCGGCCCCAAGGTTTTTAATTCGTCCTTCCTTTAGCATCCCCTCACGAGGCTGCAGGTGGCACAGCAGGAACAGTAGCGCTGCTGCTGCTGCTGCAGCAGGATGGTGTTTTCAAGCCAGTGGGGAAGGACCATGGGCAAGCCGAGAGCTGTTGGGTCAGGGGGAGGGCTTGTTCCTAGGGGTGGGAGAGGTTTGGGCTGGCTGCGGGAAGCAGAGGGAGACAGTGCTGGAACGTGAAGGCAGAGACCCGGCCTTGCTGCGGGGACGCCTCCCTTGTATGCAGCCGGGCTGCCTCCCTCAATTTTGTCAATGTTTTCTGAGTTGGCGGAAAACTGATGGAGATGGGTCTGTGCCAGCGCTGGCCCTCTCTCCGCACTGTCCCCTGCCCTGGCATAACCCCCCTCCCCCGTGCAAGGTGCCATCGGTGGGTCCCTCTGCTCCGGCCGGGGGCTCAGGCAGCCACTGGCAGAAGTGAGGAGCTCTGGCTGGCCTCCCTCTCCCTCCCAAAGCAGCGGGGTGCCAGCGCCCTGCCCAGGGCAAGTCTGGCTCCAGCTGTACTGCTCCCTGCTGCCTCCTGCCCCTCCTCGTGTTCTGGTCGGTTTTCTTGAGCTGTACATGGGTCTCCTGTTGAGCCTGTATATATTGTTCTGGGCCCTGGCCTGGGGCCATCTGTTCTCTGTGTCCATGTGGAGAGTGAGCCACTCACCAGTCTTGTTGTAGTGATGCCAGGGTGGTAGGACTAACCCTGTGTCTCTGGAAACCATTCATTTCAAATAAAGATGCGGAAAACTTTTGGCAGCCCCTGCTTTTCCCCCCTCGGCAGGGTAGGCACTGCAGGAAAGCAGGGCCAGTGTCCCACTGCTGCTGTGCACCTCACTCCTGTACATCTCTGCCTGCCTGTGCTGCCTGCACTTCCTACCTTGTCTGGTCCCTGGTGTGCTGCCAGCTCTGGCATGCTGGAATGGCCCCTGACCCCGTGCCTGCTGGTGCCAGCCTGACATGCCCTGCCTGTCCCTTGCCCATAGGGCTGCAGCCCAACCCAACCCAACCCAGTAGTGGCCCTGCCCTGGCCACGCAGTGTGGCCATGGGATGGACCAGTCAGAGAGCGATGCCGCGGTGCCTGTGGGCAGAGCAGGAGTCAAATTAGGTGCAGTGGGTGTTTATTTGCTCCCCCAGGGCTGACAGGCCCCTGCCCCAGCCTGGTCCTACTCTCAGCCCTGCTGCTCCCAGGAGTGCAGGGAGTGGCCGAGCCGTGTCCCCAGGGCCATGCCCATCTCTTGTGCTGGCCGTGGAGTCCATGCCACAAGCCTAGCAGGGCCCGAAGGCAGAACCACAACTGTGGCTGCCCGTGCATCACCCATCCCTGAGCACCCCAGCAGGCCACACTCATACTGCCAGGTCCGCCACTCGCGCCTTCCCGTGGGACCCACTGGCCACCCCCAGCCATGTACCCACTTTCCCCAAGGGTGCCAGGCCATGGGGGGTTCTGCCAGCAGCCACAGGGCTGCCACTGCCAGGCAGGGTGATGCAGGTGCTGTGGGACCTTGCAGGGCCACCAGGACTGGGCAGGATGCGGGACTTGGGGCCTGGCCCCTGCCGGCACTTGGTGAGACCCAGGTGGTAGATCTCCACCAGGTTGAGCAGCAGGGACACGCAGGCCACCCCCAGCATGAAGAGGATGAAGATGGTCTTCTCGGTGGGCCGGGAGATGTAGCAGTTGACAGTGTTGGGGCAGGGCCAGCGGCTGCAGGTGTAGAGGGGCTTCAGCTGGAACCCGTACAAGGCATACTGGCCCACAATGAAGCCCACTTCCAACAGAGCCTTGAAGACGACGTTGCAGACGTACGTCCTCAGGATGGCCCCCCGCATGCAGACCCGTACCCGCATGTCCCCTGCAGGGAGCCGGGGCTGCCTGGCACGCTGCCGCCTGGCCCCACTGCTGGCCCGTGCTGCCGCTTGCTGCTGCGCCTTCTCCTCCAGATGCACCAAGTGCAGGATGTGGCCCAGGTACACGAGGCTGGGAGTGGAGACAAAGATGATCTGCAGGACCCAGAAGCGGAGGTGGGAGATGGGGAAGGTGCTGTCGTAGCAGGCATTCTGGCAGCCAGGCTGCTGTGTGTCGCAGGAGAAGCCAGACAGCTCATCACCCCAGACCCGCTCAGCAGCTGCCCCCAGCACCAGGATGCGGAAGACGAAGAGGACGGTGAGCCAGACCTTCCCCACCACTGTGGAGTGCTCCTGGGCGCTCTCCAGTAGCCGCCCCAACAGGCTCCAGTCCCCCATGGCACGCACCGCAGTGCCCTGCAAGACAGCCGCTCTCCAGACACGGCCACCCCACAACCTGCAGAACTGCTACCCCATCCCCCGGCCAGGCGGGCGTGCAGGAACCCAACCCAGGGCTGTCCTTGGAGCGTCCCCACCCTGTGTCTCATGGGAGCCCTAACCTGTCGCGGGGAGGGCAGCAGGAGCAAAGATCTCCAGCAGAAAGCAGCCCTGCCATGCTGGGAGCACCGTGGGGGACACCGCAGTGGCAATCCGTCATGGGGACCCCTCTCACCGTTGGCAGGTGCGTGGGGCAGAGCCCAGTGCTCCCGTGCCGTCGGCTCCCCTCGGTGGGGCGGTGCAGGATGCTGTGAGGCCCCTTCCCAGCTGGTCCCCGGCTCCTCAGCAGGGTGTGGATAGGTCCGCCTGGCTCTGTCCGTCCATCCACCTGACGGCGGGCATGGGGTTATTGGGGCATGAGGCAGCTGTGTGCCCCATTGGCTTTCGTTGTGACTGGCAGATGAAACAGCCACTGGGGAAACTTTTTCCCTCTATTTTTGGTCTGGGCACTTTTCTAAATATATTTGGGGCTGCAGGGGCTGGTGCTGGGGAAGCACGAGCCCTTCGACTCTGCTCAATGCCACCCAGGGGTCACTGCTCCTGCATGCCAGCTGCCAGGGCACCGCAGCCATGGCCCCAGCCCAGCCTGGGCACTGCAGTCCCCACAGCCCCTCGTGGCACCCACCTGGGCTAGGGTGCAGGGGTGGGCACCCCACACTGGTACCCCAGTCCCCAGCATGTCCCGGCCAGAGCAGAAAGGAGGGAGGCAGCGCCTGAGAATGGAGATTTAATGGCCCCAGATGCCCTCCTGGCCATCCAGGAGGGCCAGACCGGCACCTGAGGGATGCTATCCATGTGACAAGGATATGGAGGCCATATACCTGAGGGATGCTATCCATGTGACAAGGACAGCACAGGGCCATGAGGAGGCTGTGGGGTGGGGGCAAGGGCTGGAGCCCCCGCAGCACTGGCCCTAGCAGGCAGAGCAGCGGTCGCCCTTCTCCTGCAGCCCGGGGTTGCGGCGCAGCATGTCCTTGAGGGAGCCATCCTGCTCTGTCAGCAGCTGGTTGATCTCGTTCTGCTTGTACTCGGAGGAGAGCTTGTGCCCGTAGAAGGAGCCCTTCCCTGACGGGGGGTTGGAGTTGTGCTGGCCTCGGCGGGCACAGGCCCGCACCACCAGGTAGACCAGCTCTGCCATATTGAGGACGATGCAGATGCTGGAGGTGACCAGCATGAAGACGGTGAAGATGGTCTTCTCAGTGGGCCGGGAGATGAAGCAGTCAACAGTGTTGGGACAGGGGTAAGCCTCGCACTTGACCAGCCGCACCATCTGGTAGCCCGGGTAGAGCATGTAGAAGATATACATGAACACGGCCTCAAAGAGCAGCCTGAAGACCACACTGCAGACGTATGTCCACCACAGCGAGCCAGATATGCGCATCTTGTGCTTCTTCACCTCCTCCATGTGCTTGGGGTCCGCGTGCCCCCTCAGCACCAGCAGCTTCTTCTCCTGGTGCTGCTGGTAGGCCACGTGCATGGCCACAAGGAGGGCTGGCGTGGTGACAAGGATGAGCTGCAGGGCCCACAGACGGATGTGGGAGATGGGGAAGAAGTGGTCATAGCAGACACTGTTGCAGCCAGGCTGCTGGGTGTTGCAGGTGAAGGCAGATTTCTCGTCCCCCCAGACACTCTCAGCTGCCACCACCAGCACCATTATCCGGAAGATGAAGATGACGGAGAGCCAGATGCGCCCAATGGCAGTGGAGTGGCGGTTCACCCCGCTCAGCACCGTGTAGAGGCCGGCCCAGTTCATTGTTCCTCACGTCTGCAGGAGCGAGCAGCGAGAGACGGTGTTAGCAGTGGGAAGGGCCCCTGGCTGAGAGCCACTGTGTCCTGGCCCTGGTGGCAGCAGCCCCAGGAGGGACCTGGGAGCAGGTGGCTGCTGCAGCCCTGGTAGGTGGACAGCAGGATGGACAGACAGCAGGATG